TTGGAAGAAATTGATCAGCTCTTCTGCATGTTCTGCGAAGGTGTGGTGGACCGGTCGATGGCTCCACGCTGGGTGGTGTCGGTTGAAGTCGCCAGAGATAATGAGCTTTGTCTCCTTGTCTGTGCCTATGGAGTGTTGTCGGATGCTAGACTGGATCTCATCCAGAATCAGTTGGGCGGTGGTTACATCTGCCGGTTGGTATATTGCCACAGGTTGGATGTAAACCGAGAAGAGGAGGTATTGCACCTCGGGAGTCCATATCTTGACCGCGGTAACATCGGGATGATTACAGAGAATCTGACGATGTGACGAGGTTGAGATCCTCCTGTTTATGTAGAGAAGGCTGCGGAATCTTGCTGATTCATCGGCATATGTTGGTCGATAGAGTCGCCACGCGCTGTGGTTGACATGTGTGCGGTACGCAGTGACGGGTGGCTCTTGGATTAGGAGGACATCGAGGTTCTGAGTTTGGTGATCGTTAATAAGGGCCTCCATTCCTGCCCTAGATTTCATGATGTTCAGCTGTAGTAGACGGAGATTTGTGGAACTCATTGTGATCGAGTGGGATTAAGCGATTGGCACCTCCGGTCTCCGGTGGGATGTTCTCCATCGCAGTCCAGGCACCTTGGTCTCATTTCACGAGGGCAGTTACGGTATTCATGTTGATCAGCGCAGTATCCGCATCTTGCCTGTTCTTTACAGGCCCAGGCTAGATGGCCGAATCGTTGGCAGCGGTGGCATCGTTTCCGGTCAATCTGGTATGGTTCCACGCTTCCGATGTACCTCTGGCCGACCAGTAGTCCATTGGCAATGAGGTGTTCTGCTGCCTCAGGCGTGTTTAGCCATATACCAAGTGACGCCGATGTCCTTAAGGGGTGATCCTTCTTTTTCAGCCATGCGATGTCTTCAATTTGGTATCCTTTGCTGCTGAGGTCGTTTTCTTCCATGATCTTGTCTATCCCGTGTTGCTTATTTCCTTCGAGGTCGAAGTCTTCGGTCGGTGTGCGGTGGACCACCACGCCAAACCGAGGTTTTACCAGCTTAGTATCGTTGCCTAGTTCTTGCAACCATTCAGTGTTGTTCTGGGCCTTTTCAGCTGATTGAATGTCCCTGAACCTAATCACATATCCTGTCTTTGTGGTGCCGATTCCCGCCACCTGTACGTCTTTGGTGGGGTCTGCGCTCAGCAGGGCCGATCTAATTTTCGCATTGGCCATGTCTGTTGGGAGATATCTTCCAAAGCCGTCGTTTCCATCTTCGTCATCGTCAGGGGTTCGTCGAGTGCTGATTCGGACGCAGTTAGGTTCTCTCTTGCGCGGCTTAGGGACTGTGTTGGGTCCTCGCGGAGGTTCGCTGACTGCCACCTCCGCCCATGATCTGGTTGGTCCTGCTCCCGGTAGCGAGGTGAGCTTTGTTCTTAGGGTCTGCACTTCTTCCTGCAGTTCCGCATTTTGGTTTTTTAGGTATTCTTGGTCGGCCTTGACCTCGGTTAGGTCTGTGGCTATTTTCTGAATGGTGTTGTTTTGCTGGGTTATAATCTCCCTTAGGTCCAGGATCACCCGTAATATTTCTTCAGGGTTCGTTGGTCGTGCCTCTCCACTGCCCGCGAACTCGAAGAGTGGGCTTCGAGTAATTTCCGTAGCTGTGGTTCCATTTTTCCGTCGTTTATACTGTCTCGTAACCCTTCTGAATTCGGAGGGTGGTGAGAAGTCCGTGGTGGTTATCGTGGTGATCGCCCCTTGCGTGTTTGTGGGCGACCATTCAGGGTCGTTGCCCTCGGGCGGGGCCGCCATCGGTCCGTGGTTAGCTTCCGCTCGGCACACAACCCACCCGCCTTTCGGATATTTGATGTTCAATTTATATCAACACTTTTCAATCACAGTATCCTCCGCCTTATTCCAGGCTTACAGCTCAGAAGTTACAGCTGGATGCAATCCAGAAGTTACAGCTCGGCACATACAGTTGATTGCAAAAATGGCGCCCGAGTCTTCTACTCTTGAACTGCGTTCTGTACCCTTCTGTAAATCGAACTAGGCCATGTTGGTAAGGCATCGGACTAATATTATCCCAGAAACCCTTCTAATACCTGTATTGAGATGTAAAATACAGGAGCTGTATGGAGCTTTTGTACAGTGCTTATCTGAGTGATTACAAGCCGCACTATTTATAAGCTAGAGCATGCCTTCAACTAAGATTGCGAAATTATCAGGACTAATATGTATATTGTGGTCAAAACTGTAATCTTAAAAGGACCAAACAGAGGCTACATTGCACCTTGGGAGACTGGCAGTCAATCTTATCACCCTTCTTGCCAAATCAAGTCCCACCATATGACCCTCGACACTAATCTTCTTCATGAGTGAATGCGTTCTTCAACGAAAAGATAGGGCTCCATCTGTCACTAGTTGGATAGATTGTATGCGGAGATGCAGCATGAACAGAATTACATCCATTTCTCGTCCCACTGGGTCATCCGACAGCTAAAAAGTATTCAAGCGTTTGAGTGTACACCATGATCAACAGCCTCGATGTTATTTCCCGAAGGATCTATCACGAATGCACCATAATAGTTAGGGTGATAAATTGGTCGCAATCCCGGTGAACCGTTGTCTTTGCCGCCTGCCTTGATAGCTGCAGCATGAAAAGCATCAACGGATGCATGATCTTCCAAAGCTCATAAGCATTTGCGCATGTTTCTTCGAAAAAGCTGTGCATACCTTTACAGTGGAATGCAATATGAGCAGGGCGCTCAGGTACGGTCTTTGTCCCGAGAACCCAGAAGTCAGCACGTTGGTAACTGTCTAAGTCTTCAGTTCTCGACCCGAGTCCTACGACAAACTCTCCAAACTGATGACGAGTCTCATAGCCAAGTGGCTTGAGAGCTTCGAGGTAGAATTTAAGGCACTGCTGAAATTTCTCTTCAGGAACGCAAAGACTAGTATGATCGATTGCCATGGTGACAGTCCGAAAGTGTGCAAAGAGTGAGATGCCGCTGAAAGAAGGATATTGACCTGAGTATTTTTCAGGGAGACAGAAGGAGATGATAATGAGCAAACAAGGCTGCTGTAAATTATAAACTTTCCAATGAAACGGGAGCTTCGTAGAATTGGTCATCCATCAATCTGAGTGTCTATGATGCTGGATAATTCCCTACCGTAAGTTCCGAAGTCCCCACCTGCGCTTACATCATCTGCAGTTCTGGATTTTATTAGAGAGTATGGATTACAGCTCTGCTTGATACCCAATCGAACCCAGGTGATTCAACCCATAGGACGAGAATTAGAAATTAAACCCTTACTCTAGGTAACTTCGGCCGCTCGTCAGCCACCTTGTACTCTCCCAGTCCTTTCCGAACTGCGTCACGGACCAGCTGCAGTCCGATCAACTCAACTATCTCCATTGGCTGGACAATAATCTGTTGCTGCACAAGGAAGATCGACCGGGTTCTGCGGGAAGATCATCCGGGGCGGGTTTGGGAAATAATAAGCTGGGGTTAAGAGGGTCATTTGTATACCTAGTACAAGGTGCCGTGAATTATAACAGTCAGATTAATCTTCATAAAATACGATACGGAAACGTGGAACAAGGGTCTTCGGAAAAATCACAGAAGTAGTTTAGCAAACCTTGGCATTGGGGTATAGAAAACAATCAAAGAGTATAAGACCTGGGCGCCACTTTGCAAAGATCTGTACCTATTCCAAGGGACTGAATACAGTCCATGTCTTACAGAGCGATGTCACTGTCACCAGTCCTCCGATTGGTCCAACCACGTCTTGGAACTCAATACAACCAGCGGGATTCTTGTCAGTGTAACAGATGTTTCAGGCGAGGATAATGCTCAGTCTGGCGGACATCTGCAATGTGCCAGAGTATAAAGGCAAAGATAAAGCCCGAGTTTGATAATTCTGGCCTGCAACAGATCCATACTCACCACAAAGGGTTCGTTTCAACTCAGTATCGCTGGCCATATGCCGCAATATCTTGACGGATCGAGTACGGACGTTCGCCGTTGTATTTCGATGGCTAGAGCCGATTAACATTTAGGCCTCTTTCTTCTTTGACATGGTGGTGTCTGCCGTCGATGCCACAGGCGAGGCTCTACAGCTGAGAGTATCTTTAACAAATATCCTGGTAGTTCAAGTCAGTCGTCAAGACATCGGGAGAAGAAAGCCTATTCTGAGGTGCACAGTACGGATTAGTAGTTCTCTAAGGCGCAAAATTTGTCAGGAGTCATTCAGAGCAAATAGTTATCACTTGAACGGAACTTCTAATGTTGGTATATATCCTCACATCCAAGAAGACATTGAATTGCTTCATCTTGCAGCAATTTGGTTTTAGCAGCAAAAGTGGTGCATCTCAGGGCATTTAATCAGCCGTATCGACAGCTTTCCGAAGAACAGAAGGGCCAAACCCAGAGTCTCAGTGAGACAGTTTTCGCTCGAATCGATATTTAACCGCCACCTTGAGGACAGGCTGGACTCACGGATAAAGTGATGATTGCCTAAAGGAGCAATGATTGGGCACAGTCCGTGCCCAAAGTACATTTCTCCTCTCTCGCCTCCAACCACAGCCCTTATGGTTTCTTCACACATCAATTCAAGAACCTTGTGCGATTCCCCGCTCTTTTCCATCCAATAAAAGGTCCATAACACGTCACTAAAGCTTGGTTGCAATTTGCCTCGAGCGCCGCAGGACGGGTTGTCTCGTATTCCCCTCGCTTGTTGATTTAGTGTCATGGCATCCATCCAACCACATCTCGAGGTCAGATACGAGTCATGCCGCTTGGTGGGATAACTACAGTGCCCGACTTTGTCACTCGTATATGGATGAGGCTGATCTATTCCTGGCTGCTCTCCACGTCATTAAGGTTCAAGGCGCTCAGGCACCGTGCTATATAAGGTGGGTTCGTTTACCCACTTTTCATCCTTTCGACCTCTCAGCCAAGTCATTCGCTTAGTTACTGTCAATCACTCGTTGATCTGATATTACCAGACTTTACAATGTACAAGCTTCTCACTGTTTCCCTTCTGGCCACTGCCGCCCTTGCGGCAGGCCACAACAATCTCATTGCCCGCCAGGTTTCCAGCTGTGAATCGCACACTGGCTACAAGACCTGCAAGTCCGCTTGCATCCCCGAGAGCTACAGCTGCTGCGCCATTGGCGAGGGCGGTTGTGAGCCAGGCACCTACTGCACCACCGATGGCTGCTGCCCCAACGGTGAGATCTGCTCTGGGGGTGGTGGTACCTCGACCGGAACCTTGACCGACACCATCACCAACACCTTGACCAACACTATTACCAACACTCTGACAAACACCCTCACCGAGACCGCGACCACGACGCCTACTACCACTGAGGAAACCACTTCCACGTCCACCTCTACCCCTACCTCTACCTCCACTACTACTTCTACTTCTACCTCTACCTCTACTACTACGTCAACCTCGACCACGACCTCTCAACCTGTCATCCCCACCCAGCCCACCGTCACCTCTCCCAGCTCCACTCCAAGCGGGACACCGTCGCCCTCTGGCCCCGGAGGTCAGGGCTCCTCCACCACCAGCACTTCCTTCCCTCTGTTCACTGGTGGCGCGTCCAGTCTGAACGCCGGCCTGGGTGCCGTGGCCGGTCTGATTGCGGGAGCTGCTCTCCTGTAATCCTCACACATGCGCCTTGACAGTCAGTGCTAGTGCAGGTGTGCAGAAATGAAAGGATTGTCTTTTGCTGTGTACTGGCTATTGCAATTATTTATAGTCTAATCCTAATTGAATGCGGGTGCTATCCATCGTCTTCTGCTCTGTAAATAAGACAGATCAATGCATTGACAGTTAGTGCATGAAACAGTGACAGAGTGTAGACAGACCATAGCCTTTAATTCCAATCTAGACGTTTATGATATACTTACTGCGACTGCTAAATCTCAATGCATAATCGACTGTGTCCGGATTGGCGGCAGTCTGGCAGCCCAGCTGACAGGTGCCTACAAAGTTGTCCGTACATTTAGAATTTCTTGGTATGATATGTGCAAATTGTAGGGCCGGCAGGAGAGAAATACTCATGAGAAGGTCAGAATTGGTAGAGAAATGTGCAATGCGGAGATCGAAATCAGATGAGATGATTACCGATGGCAATTCCCGCCATCTGAATGAATTCATGATTGGATGAGGAAGCTGGCTGCATTGATTGGTTATACTCTACGAGATAGAAGCCGTATATGTATGACTCGAGGAAAGAATAAGGGGAAGAGATATTGTTGGAAAACACAAGGTCTCACAGTGGGACATATAGGCTCTATTGAGCAAGACATGTCCGAGCTATAGGAAACGCTTCTTTCCAATAAAGCCGAAAAGGCTCAATTCCATCGATCCATTACCAGCCAAATATTATGACTGCGGATACCCCATCTCACCGAGCTCACATTGGCCCATCCAATCCAATACACCATGTCGGGTTGTGCAATTGACGAGAGATGGAGATACCTACTTCTCTCCATCCCCAGCCGAATACTCCAGATCATGTCCATCACTTCCACGCTCAGCACTTGCGCAGATAGAACAGCAAGGAACGCAGTACTCACTTTGCACGACGATCCCAGAGCCTACTCAGGTCCCCAACAGGCAAACGGACAGGGAACCCCACCGAGTCAAACAACTGCGCCACCAGCAGATAGAACCCGAGCATGCTCGCCACGAACAGGGACGCCCCGGCTGCCTGTCACAACAGCCTGTGTTAGCCATGTTATACATAGGTCTGGCCAGGAAAAGGAGAGACATACCACAGTTAGCCGATTACCGACGAGAGCATCCGCCACAGCCAGACGCCAGTATGCCGCTGACAAAAAGACGAAGACGAGAGTGAGAGTCGCGAAGATGGCGACGTAGACCGCGTTGGTGCGGGTTGCGCAGATCAGGAAGATGAGCATTAGGACGCCCATCCAGATGAAGAGAAAGGCTGTTTCTGTTAGAATATATTCCGTTGGATGAGGGGATGCGAACCGTATGTATTCATGAAGTCGGGGCTGTGGAGGCCGGCTACTGTGTCGGTGGCAGAGGTTGAGTAGGGGGCTGTAGCAGCATCATATTAGCAGCGTAGGTATAGATAGGAGACTGGACAAACCTGCGGCGTTGAACGCGGGAGTCATGGTGCAGCCGAAGGCGAACCAGAACGCTCCTGTTATTCTCAGTTAATTGCTTCGTCTCTTCGAGATGCCCAACGAACCAATTGTGCCAAAGACAACGCATGGAAAGGTGTTGCCGAGGATACACTCCAGGATACTAGTCAAGACGAGCAGTCCACCTCCGAGGAAGATAATCGGACCCCTAGACACAGATATCAGCATTGTATCATGCCAGCCTCCAGACATTGTCACTTACGTGAACGCAATTCCCGCTCCAGTGGCACCCCTCCATCCCATAAGGCAGCAAGACAAAGGTGTTGTGGTAATAACGAATCCGCCGAGGGCCCTAATCAGTCAGTTCATGTATACTCTCGGCAAGGCTGGGTAATTACAAAGGGGTAGGATTGCCCATCTGCTTCGAGAGCATGCCCTGGCGCTGGGTCAGGGGACTGAGGTACAGCTTTTCGAACTGCTCGGCGGATAGGGTGACGGATGTAGGAATTGTCGTTAGAGAAGGCATGGCTGTCTCTTCCTGAGGAGAGGGTTTTGCCTGGTGATTCTTAAGCCCCGTCTCAGTGTCCATCGTGTCTGATAGTTGTCTGTGCGCAAGGTATGTGGCAAGTGAGGCAGGAGTTGGGGAAATCTGGGGTGAGATCAAAACCCGGGGTAAGAACGAATTGGCTCCTTATATCTGCTTCGTCAGTACAGAACTGCCCACGATAGCCCCTTATCCGGTCGAGCGGAGTGCTCTGATCAGCACGAATATAATTTCCTTTTTGGGTAGGGTCCGGAGAACCGGAGAAGGAAAGGAAGCTAGCCCAGCCCTTCATAGATGTGGCTTCAGCCTGGGGTTCTGATTCGGTGATCAATGTGCATTGGATCTCTAGTCTGAGAGGATACTTCAATTCGTGATTGTATCCAGGATGATACCTGTGCCCAGAGCTATGGATTGTCTGAGTTCGAGATTCGGGGAGTACTGTCCTTCTGACGGTGGTCTACCCAATTTTCGAAAAGACATACACATTTGATTGGACCACTACGGTCTTTGACATTCAACAACAGTGGTTTCTTGCATAATTGAGAGTCTTAGGCTCTTGTTTGACCAATTTACACTACAGTATTGTGATAGACAAGACTAAGGAAATTAAAATGCGAGGTAGATCATAAACAAATCCATTACCAATTCAAACTCTGCTACGACTAAGCACCCTGAATACGAACATGCACGGTCTTGACCTGCGTGTAGTTGTCAAGAGCGTACGATCCCAGCTCCCGGCCCAAACCTGATTCCTTGAAGCCGCCAAATGGCATCTGGCAAAGGAAGGTGTTGTAGTTGTTGATCCACACAGTTCTGTAATGGTTAGCGAGTACACTAGACGTGTGGATGTCCGAACATACCCAGCTCGGATAGCATTGGATACGCGGATGGCTGTGTTGAGGTTGGTAGTGTGAACAGCCGCCGCCAGCCCTAAAATCAGTCAGCATGGAACGCTAGAGATAGAAGGTAGGCTCACCGTAGTTGGTATTGTTAGCAATCTCAATAGCCTCCTCCTCGGAGCTAAACTTCTGCACTGTGCAAACAGGCCCAAAGATCTCCTCTTTGACGATCTTCATATCCTCGTGGACATCGGCGAAAATGGTAGGTTGGATGTAGTACCCCTTTTCGCCGTGTCGCGCTCCACCAGTAACAACCGTGGCACCCGCCTTCTTGCCCTCGTCGATGTATCCCATGATACGATCATACTGCACCTGAGAGACCTGGGGGCCCTGGAACGTCTCCGGGTGGAACGGGTCTCCGACCTTGTTCTCCTCCGCGCGCTGCTTGAAGAGCGCCAGGAATTTCTCGTAGATGGATTCATGAACGAGGACGCGCGATCCAGCAGCGCAGCATTGCCCGTGGTTGAAGTAGATACCCAGGTTGACGTATTTGATCGCGTCTTCCAGGTCAGCGTCGGCGAAGACAATGTTGGGAGACTTGCCGCCGAGCTCGAGCGTGACTTTCTTCAGGTTGCTCTTCGCTGCGACCTGGAGAATCTGGCGGCCGACCAGCGTCGAGCCGGTAAATGCCACCTTGTCGATATCCATATGGGCCGCGATGGCGGCGCCAGCTACGCGTCCAAATCCCGAGATGATGTTGATCACACCCGGTGGGAAGCCAGCCTCCTTTACCAGTTTCGCGACGTACAGTGCTGAAAGCGGAGTTTGCTCGGCCGTTTTGAGGACAACCGTGTTGCCGGTGGAAATGGCAGGCCCGATCTTCCACGCCCACATGAGCAGCGGGAAGTTCCATGGGATGATCTGACCGCAGACACCAACCGGTTCGTGGCGGGTGTACGTCAGGCTGCCAGGGTTGGTATCGATCGTTTGGCCGACGATCTTATCGGCCCAACCGCCATAGTACCGGATGCAGTTTGCGGAGAGAGTAACGTCTCCTTTGGCGATTTGGAAGGCCTTGCCGTTGTCTAGGGCTTCAATGGCGGCGATAGTATCCAGGTCGCGTTCAAGAAGGTCAGCAAGGCGAGTTAAGAGACGGCCGCGCTCTGAAGGGATGACGTCCTTCCATGCGCCTTTGAAGGCTTTGCGGGCGGCTTCGACGGCAATGTCGACATCTTTTTCGGTGGCCTCGTGGACGGCCACGATGGGTTTTTCGTCGTGAGGGTTGATAGTTTCGAAGGTTTTGCCTTCTACACCAGGGACGAACTCATTGTTGATGAACCTTTTAGGTGTTAGCGACGAAGAATGGACTATGCTTTGGTACATACAGCCCTAGCGGTTGCTCATATGTAACAGTAGGGGTCACGATGGTCTGAAAAAGAGCCATGTTGAGGACAGTCTAAGGATGCGTGAAATTTGCGCAAGGAGCGGAGTGTAGTGTAATTTGTAAGAGACGCGAGGGTCAGAAAGAGGGTCACCCTGTACTTCCTTGCTCACTCTTATAGCAGAGGCCGGATCGCATATGCCTCGGGCCAAGGGCGAGTAGCAAGGATGGTGACAAATAGAAAGGCAAACTGTAGAAACCATGACTCCGCGTCTCCGTCCCCTCCGCACTCCACATTCTTCATTATTCCTAACGCTAGGTTTGTGTCGGCGACTGGGGTACTGTCCTGATGTTCCGCATCTGTCCTGCCTGCGATCCACAAGTGGACTGCGACGAGACGACCTCCGCAGGCCTTCCTAGGTTTCTGGGACTGCTTGAAGAGGCAATTCTTCCATGGACTAGTTGTGGGGAGATCGGACACCCGAATCGTAGTTACACAAAGCACGCCAGAGCATTGGTAGGGTAATGTCAAGTGATCTCATGCGGCAGTTCAATTGGTCATCACTGTCGCTATGTGTAACCAACCACCCCCGCGTCTCAAAGAAGTTTGCCCCGGAGACTCGATGTCAGCCACCCAGGTCCGAGAATCCGCGAAGAACATCAGACTAGATAATTGGTGGATCCATAGAATCCTGTTGTAACTTAATCTATTCTAGCTCAGATCGGAGCCGCTCTCGGATCCGCATACGCTTGGCAGCGGATCAGCACGGCGGGGTAGGCCA